TCACCAGAATCACTTAGGAATTTTCCGCAATGTTTTGTTTTTGACAACTCCTTTTTAAATCTTCTAAAATTATTTAATTTAGAATTTGCATACTTCTCCACAGAAATCCTTCCGAATTCATATAACAATTACTAGGGTTTTCATGTCAGAATAATTCTGGAAATCTGCTCAAAACTTTTCCTTCGAAAACTGTGTGGGAATCTTTCTCAATATTTGTTTGAAATCAACACTTTGAATTCTTTTAAAATTTAATAAAAATTCCAGGGTTTGTCCACTAGATCCTATAGATTGTTATGTCATTGTTTATAACCCTTAAAATGCTTTCAAGTCTCATAGCGTGACAATTATGACTCCACGACTCATAAGTATGATATTTATTTATTTTTCATATCTGTGATCTTGAAAAATTTTCAAAATCTCACATTTTAATTATTTTTACTCCAAATCTTGCATCACAAAGATTGTTATTAATCACAAATTTTGAAAAAAAAAAAAAAAAAAAGTTCTATTTTCAGACACTACTCAAATTTTATAGCCCCAGAATCTTGGGAATCTTCTTAAATCACATTTTTTTGTCCTTTCAGTAAATTCCTTTCATAGCGTTCTTGAAAATGCGTTCAATTTGGTTTTTTTGTTTAATATTAACAACCGGGATTTTTTAAAGATTTTAACCGGGAAAAAACCGGGAATTTAAAAATAAAAATTCACTGGCCACCCTGCTTTATGCACCTTTGACGCAATAAAAGGTTTTCAGTGCCATTTTATTATGAAATCAAGTTATCAAGAAATCAAGTTATTTTATATTCTAATTTTGTAAATGTGAAAATGAAAATCTTATTTATAAAAGGGGGGAAATTGCCTCACCTTGCCTCACCCTATACACGCCAGTGGGGGAAACTACTTAAAAGTGCATTTTTCAGTTATGTGACGTACTTTAATTGTTTTTCATTCAATAATTAACATTGAATGAATAACCAATAATATTGCAGTTGGTATCTTACATAATTTATGTATTGCTTCATTTTCGAAAAGAGTGAATGCTTCCGTTATGGCTGTGTGTACTGTTATGTGTTCGGTTGTGGCATTTGGGAATACCATTTACCATGACAGGATGCGTTGGGATGGAGTGACAGGTGGGCGTGATTACCCTAAACAAAATATACTTTAGATTGGAAACTAATCTCGGAATGAAGCATTTTATCACAGAAAAGTGTTACCTAAGACGGGCAAAGACAAGATAAATTTTGCGCATCAATGTAGAAAGGTAGCATAATAAGGAGATAGAGAGAAATATTACTTTCAGGCTGGTCTCGTGAGAAGAATATGATGCGGGGGGTCATGCCTTAAATATGTAGAATAAATCTCCCAAATTTGTTTATTTGTAGTTATAGGCAATAGTGGAAGTTGTTGCTTCAACCAATACAAATAGTAATCAAATCTTCGATCATATGTTTGCTAACAAGTGAATTTTAGGGAAGAAAGAAAATTCAATAAGTAATGATAGGATGAGGCTGGTCAGGAATTTGTTGATTGCTCGTAGTGAGAGTTCGGATTGTTATGCAATTGTCTGTATCTGGTAGGGGGATATTGTGTCTTTCCACTGGTATTAGCTTATTAATCATCAACCGTAAAAACCATATGAATTATCGCATTACATACCAAACGAAAACTTAATCATATTTTGTCGTGGAGTGTTGTAGTTTTGGAATGTTGGAGGAATCGTTTTTGCTTACTGAGCTAAAAATCATGGGTTTGAAAAAGCTCTCCCACAACAGAATAAACCACCATCGCCGGGTTTCGAGATCATAAGGCGCCGTAATAACCGAAAGTTGAAATGTTTAAATCTTTATCACATTGGAACTATTCCTTACCTCTCAATAAATCAAATTCTATTCAAAGCAGAGCAGAACTCTCAATAATGAATTCATAGGGGAAATGGATGTAATGTCGGCCTAAATGCCCCGAATCTGGGCCCATACATAAATTCAGCAGTCGACTAAACTTTCAATAGCGACCAAAAATATCGATTAGTGCCGTTCTAATGAAGCATTCATCTAAATAAAATTGATAAATAGCAGATTTTTAGCGATGGGCCCAATCTTAGATCAAAATGCCAACATTAGGGTCATTGGGTGTATGGGTCATTCCAGCTCAAGTGGGTACAGAATTTAAAAAGTTGTGGTCGATGGCACCGATTTGAGCCAAACTTGGCCAAAACGCTAATGTTGGCATTGTGAACAAACCCCTTTTTTAATTTTACTCTTTAGAGGCCTTTTAAGGCCTAGATCCTTCTGGGATACAACCCTGGATTTTTAAAAATTTTAACTTTCAGAAGAGATTACTCCACAACCAAATAAGCTATTCATGATCTTAGAACGTCAATATAAAGGTTTTGTAATGTAGATTCACATAGGAGTACTCACATTTTATTTTTGTTATTGTTACTACAGAAAACAGGCTGATTACCGGCAGGTATCCAAATTGTTAAAAAATGACCTATTTTTACCATGGGCGGGATTTTATATTTCTTAAATTTTGGGCTAAAATTTTCATCATACTTTGGAAAACTCTTCTACTAGATGTGTTTCGAAGGGGAAATGATTTGGACAATTAGTTTTAAGCTTTTCTGGTGGAAAATCAATGCTATTTAATATTTTTTTTATTTTTTCTTGAATTCCTTCACGCCGATGGCACAATAATATTTTTATGTTATTTTTCACATGTTCTGGGCAGGGTTCTCTTGATATGAAATCATAACTAGCTCATTTATTTACTTCTATCCATAGTTTAATTGTGGTCCTAAAAATGAAAAATACGTTCCTATGGGATACAGCCAAAACGTTGTGCTTTAGAAGTACGATGAAATCCGATAGATTAATAGGTACATATATAAAATTTCAGTTGTGGATGACAGCTGCTGCTGTGTGAAACACACCAAGTAGAAGAGTTTTCCAAAGTATGATTAAAATTTTAGCCCAAAATATTAAGAAATATAAAATCCCGCCCATGATAAAAATAGGTCATTTTTTAACAATTTGGATACCTGCCGGTAATCAGGCTGTTTTCTGTAGTAACAATAACAAAAATAAAATGTGAGTACACCTATGTGAATCTACATTACAAAACCTTTATATTGACGTTCTAAGATCACGAATAGCTTATTTAGTTGTGGAGTAATCTCTTCTGAAAAATATTTTTTTTTAAATCTCGAAAATCCAGGGTTGTAGCCGAGAGGGATCCAGGCACTTTAGAGTAAAATCAAAAAAGGTGCTTATTCAGAATGCCAAATTGAGCGTTTTGGCCAAGTTTGGCTCAAATCGGTGACATCGACCACAGGTGGTGTACCCACTTGAGCTGGAATGACCCCTATATAAATAACTCATTCAAATTTCAAATTATTACCAGCTTACACATTCCATATCATCTTGTGGCATCGTGGCCAGCTCAATCCAAAAAAAATTCAACCATTCACTTCAACTAATCATCATCCCTTCCCATGGCGATCATGTAGCCCATTTTCCCCCTTACTATCGACCTTGGAATGACTTGCGCTCTTACTGCTCCACCCTGGGCTGCAAAATGAAAAATGAAAATGAATCCGTAGACAGTCGCTAATCCCGCTACTTATAAAAATCATATTGATTATTTTATAATCAAATCGAAAACGACTTTCTTATTGGAAGAGGCTGAAGGTAAAACAAACAATCAATACGTAGAAAGGCTGGTAAAAGTCATTTTTGATGATTGATTAAAGTGTTACTGAAAAACTGTTTTGAAATACCTACTTCACATTTGAAAATGGCCTCAGCCACAAAAATAAAAGATTATGAATGGAAATTATTTATTACTAGCATGTTGCTACGAGGACTTTTAAGTTATTTTTGATGCGAGGTCATGGAAAACTCTCACTTAATCATTGTGTAACGTAGGTGAGGTCAACTGTGGAAAAATCTATACATACACTTTTTGAAGATCGTATAATCCTACCGAGTTTCAGTTAATCACCGCCATATCCGTATTCTAGTACAAAGATCTATTTCTAATACCTGATCACACCATTAGAGGCAATTCTCCAGAGCAGCTCATAAATTTGAGTGTATTGAACTTTCCTTTTTTGTGCGTTCGTTTCCAGGCATTTCTCATGCGGGTGGGTTTTTTCCACTTGGTCATTATTGTGAGCAAGTTCTTTTGACTAGTTATGTAGAATATTTCCATGCAAGTTTTCGATTGAATTCCAGCTAAAAGATTTGATGCGATGCATATATCAACTTCGGTTATTCATTTCATTTGAACAACTTTACGAGTGTTAGTATCGATAAAATTCCACTACTGGGCAGCAAATTGCCGATTCCGACGTATTCCACCTCCCGCAAAACATAACATACGTACCATCTTATCAAACCAAGCCGATTCGGGCTTTGCTTTGCGTTTGTTCGTCGATCGTTGACAATAATGCCCGCATCCAGCGTTCGCGCGAAATTGAACAGAACAACGTCGGAACAGGCCCAGCATCCCATCTATCAGTTTGGCACAGACGTTCGTCTCGAGAACATCTCCGGATTAGTGGATTCCGTTTTGATTGAGATTACGCGTGGTCAGTCACGCTCGGTTGTACGTCAAAGTGGACGAAATCAAAAATGGTTCGGTTATCAATGTTGGAAAAAATTGGCATAACGGTAAAGGTCGTTCTATTCTGATAATGTACTGGATTTGAGCAAATTAGTTCCGCTCTCATTCTTCGGAATTATGCGATAACAAGTGGTGTAAATTTCATACTAACTGGCACTATCAGCTGTTCATGACAATTTAGCATGTTAACTCACCGCAACCATCAAAGTACTAACACTACAGCTAGAGAGACTAACACTTGCTGCACTGATCTAAGTTACTAATTGTGCTGTGAATCGAGCTAGTTTTCGGTATGATTTTAGTTTTTTTTTCGCATCCAATAAATTTGCTTAAATCCTAACGCTCACTATTCCCCCCTCCCCCAAATCTAGGGTTCTCGAAGGATGAAAAACGAACGAGAACCTCTGCTAAGCACCTCAGACAACTCGTTGGAAGTAACGCACAATGAGCACCAGCACCTGCTAGCGCGGCCGGATCTTCGCAGTTCCCCGGAAAATATGATCGTTGATGTCAACAACGACAACGACAGCCTCACGCAGTCAGCCACCAAAGAGGATGCCACGTATGGTTCGGCTAACGAAACGTACGACCCCTCGTTGCACCGAACGCTGGAACACCCCACCACCAATGTGGACACGATGATCCACCTGCTGAAAGGAAACATCGGAACCGGGATCCTAGCGATGCCGGATGCATTTAAGAATGCCGGGTTGTATGTGGGTTTGTTCGGAACGCTGTTGATGGGCATGATCTGTACCCATTGTATGCACATGTTGGTCAAGTGTTCGCACGAACTATGCCGACGGTTGCAGGTCCCATCGCTGAACTTTGCCGACGTTTGCTGCCGATCGTTCGAGACGGGACCCATTGGGCTACGGCGGTACTCCAATTTGGCACGTAATTTGGTCAACATGTTCCTGGTTATCACCCAGCTGGGCTTCTGCTGTGTGTATTTCGTATTCGTGGCTGTCAATCTGCGGGAAGTGGTCGCACATTACTTCTTCGATCTGGATGTGAGGGTCTACCTGCTGTTGATGTTGGTTCCGATGGTGCTACTGAATCTGGTTAAGAACCTGAAGTTCCTGACTCCGGTTTCGCTGATTGCGGCTTGCTTGACCGTAGCAGGTATGTGATCGTTTTAATGAAATTGCGCAGACGGGAATTTTTCATATATTGTTGATCATTTCTCCCGTAGGTCTCACGTGTACGTTCTACTTCGTGCTGCAGGATCTGCCGAACACGCACACCGTCAAATCGTTCGCATCGTGGGCCCAACTGCCGCTGTACTTTGGGACGGCCGTGTATGCCTTTGAAGGAATTGGTATCGTGCTTCCGCTGGAGAACAACATGAAGACTCCGGAGGACTTTGGCGGATTGACAGGGGTGCTCAACACCGGAATGGTGATCGTTGCTTGCTTGTACACGGCCGTTGGTTTCTTCGGTTATCTCAAGTACGGTGAAGATGTACAGGGAAGCATCACACTCAATCTGCCAGGGGATCAGTTGTAAGTATTTTAACAAGCTAAGCTGCTGGACAACCAGAAGTCGTGTATCAATGTTTGCGTAATGTTTGCGGCGTCGCAGGTATCAGTGTTGTTTTTTCATCAGTGTATGAAAATTTGCACGCGATTTTATACTCTCAGGCTCAATTATTAAGATTTGAGTATGATTTTCTGAACACTGTCTAAGAGAGCCGAAAAAGTCATATCCACGAGAGAAAATTCGCTTTCTCGAGCATAATCTGTCAACTTTCAATGTATATGGAAGACGCAAGATATACATGGACCAGTATCAGATAGACTTTTACAACTAACTGATTGACTTTCTCCGTTATCTTCAACAGTACTTTTAGAAGAACATGATTGGTAGAAAATGTCATGATAGTACTGGTTGGAGCTTACTCGTGCAGGGTGCAGCATGCAGTTTGCCTTTTTTGTTCCCCGGCTTTCTTCTAAATGCCTACTAAGCTTAAGGGTACTAGATATGTTTGCTGTGCAAAGTACTCTATTTTAATGACTGTGAAAATTATATCTAGATAGGTTGACTGCACTGTCCCCTATTAAAAACTGTAACGCTAAAAAGTTTGGTTTGCTTATAATTTCCTATATATGTCGCTACAAACAACCGTAGTGCTACTTGAAGGAAAATAAGAGCAGAAGCTTGACGAAAGGGTTCATTATAAGAAAAATAGAAGCACTATTGACTGAAATCTCGCCATGATGCCAATTTTAAGCTTGCCTGCCCAGTCACGCCTGGTAGATTGCCTTTTCGTGGTCTACCACCGAAGCCTAGTCCGAACTACTTCAAACTAGGAACACTGGAATAAGAGACCAGCGGAGAAATTAAAAACATGAATTTGGCAAAAAGATAAACATCAAAGCAATCCTGGCATCACTGGTCGAGGCTGAAATTCTTGTTTTTTGCTATTTGACCTGGAAATGCTCTATGGTTCTATAACTCGATATTGACTAAGTGAAGAGTTGGGCAGAGTTGGCTGTATTTACAAATTTTGATTTTCTTTTACAGCTTTAATATTGTTTAAATATTCGACTTATGACATTCTTGGCCATTAGCTAGGGTAGAGCACTACTTCGTCGTAATCGCCCAGTTCCGTTCTATCGATCAGAAAAGATCAATAATATCAATGATTTAAACGTGCACAAATCAATCATAGGTTTGTTCCGATGCGTTAGTTCATTAGGTACAACATAAATCCTATTAAAGCGCATTGTATGAATATTTACGCTGATTGTTTTCAAAATAAAAGAAGCGCTTCTAGCGAATCCCTTTTTGCTTCGTTTATCCGTACGACGAAGAAAATCTAATGACATTTCAATGCGTTTGGACGGAATTGAAACTCGTAGGACGGATTTAGAATCAAGAAGCAGTATTAGATTTTGAACAATATCTCAACAATTTGTCACTCTTTATCAAATCTAACGGTACGTATGGAAAGGTGAATAAATTTAGAAGTCATCTTTGACAGAATTATTCAATTGTTTCTTCGAACCCGTTCAAAAAAGATCAAAACCCCTATTCGTACTTCAGAATTTTAAAAAGAGCCCAAACCAATTTAAAACCCATGGCATGAAATTGTATATTCTGTGGCAAGCACTATAATACTCTATGCACAGGGGAAGTCAAGAAAATTTTCAACACAAAATGTTTTCTAGACCTAACTGGCATGGTAATACCATGCTTTTACTGTCCAGGCGATCTGAGGTTCCAACTCGATCACAGATGCTGTATTGTAATGTTGAGGGCTCGGTGGCCTAAAGGCGACTGTTTTTGCTTATTGAGCAGAAGATTGTGGATTAATTTCACAGCTCCTTCAAATTTATAAAGTCGTAAGTGCAACACCAAACGAAAATGACGGTTGCAAAACCAGCCAGTGATTTTTCTTGGCATTGCAGATAATCTCTTATCTTCCTTCAAATCGTGTATCACATCAACACATTTCTACCAATTATGTAACTGATCTGTATTCAGACGAGGAGGTCGCTTGTAATGCTTATTGTAAAGTTTGAGACTAGCAGTTTTCACACATTGAAGAAAATTGTTGGTTATCTGTGTTAGGTGGTTTGGTAAAAACGGAGTAGCAATGGTGGTCAGTCATTCCCGTCATACTCATGCTCATTTTCATTCTCAAGTTGTGACCATGTCGTACTGGTATTTTTATAAATGTCTGATACTGCTATTTTTTCTGAACATTTTTACCTTTAAAGAATAACTTAAATTATGGATCTTGCGGAATTTAAAGCATTTTCAATTTAGATTCAAGATGTTTAAAAAATCTAAGATGTGGTCCAGTCCATTTTTTTCGCTACATAATCATACTGGACGACAAAACCTTAGCTATCGAGTCCCTGAAGAAGGTCACAAACGGACTGAAACGTCAGACAAAAATAAAAAAGCAATACAGTAAGTGTTCGAGTTTAGTAACACACAAATTCTACAAATTTTAATAATTGATAATCTGATTTATCTGACCACATCCAAAGCTTCACCATCATAGAGAAAGTCTAAGGAAAATATATGGGGATTGACATTTTTTGAGTGCAGAGCACAAGCTAATTTAATATATCGAATCCAGACTGTTTTGTTATTTTTATTTTATCGAGACTGAAAGCCATTTTCCACGCACATCGCAATAACGTCAACCTTGATTTTTTTTATAAAGCTGAATGTATTTTTTTAGAAAATTATTATAGATTACATTTTATGGGCTAATGCTCAGAACAAATGCCGTTGTATGTTTACAAATGAGTCTACAACGTTATCATACACGTCTTGCATATCGAATCCCGTTTCCCAGATTTTATGTCTTTGATTGGAGAGCAGGTTATTTACATCACTTCATGACATTCACCTCGGGGCCTCCCTTAGCTCAGTCGGTAAAGGCTGCCCAGCCGTCATCAAGAGGGACTTCAATTAGCACTTCCGGTAACGCTACGTCTAGATTTAGGGCGTAGTTAGTTGCGCCTTCGGAATGCACAAGTTGTTCCAGATTGTACCGTTGCGATAGAAGTCTGAATCGATGTTTGCGACGTGGTTCTGATGTCGATATCGATAATGCCTGAGAAGTACCTTCCATCAAGAAAACGGTGATTGGTTGAGCAAGGGAAAGCGAACAAATAGCTCGATTGCTGAACGAATGTAACTTCTAGACTATTTAAGTACAAATGCTTAGAAATTATCGGAAGCCGATTTTTTAGGATTATCTTCTTCTTCTTCCTCGCATTTCAAGCTTATTGCGTATGGCATATTAGCTTATTGCATGCTCTCAACTTAGTGTTCTAGATGCACTTCCACAGTTATTAATTGAGAGCTTTCGATGCCTGTACCATTTTTGCATCAGTATAATTGTGTGGCAAGTAAAATCATACTCTATGCCAGGGAAGTCGAGAAATTTTTCAACCCGAAAAATTCCTGGACTGGACCGGGAATCGAACCCAGCCACCTCCAGCATGGTCTTGCTTTGTAGCTGTGCCTTTACCGACTGAGCTAAGGGAGGTCATTTAGGATTATCTAAGACGTCCAAATTATTCAGGAGTTCAGATCAATTGATCTACCCAGATCAACAATGAATGATAGAAGGCCCTTAGTAACAAACCATCTTCAAACAGGTTCACTGAGATTATGCACATCATTAAGGTTGCAATTATATGTGAAGAAGATGTTCCAGGTTCTTCAAATTGTTCTGGAGTTCAGATTATTTGATCTACTGGATCAACCAAGGCCTTCACGATGTCTTCAGCGACAGCACCAACACAAACATGTTCATAGAGTTTTTGCGCATTATTTAGATTATATTTTGAAGTATATAGGATGCTCAAGGTTCTCCAAGTTATTCTGGAGTTCAGATGAAATGATCTACCACCGAAGTAACAAAACTTCATGCAATTTTTTTGAGTAAAATTCTTTAAAACCAAATCCAGTAATATAAAGGAAGGTTATATAAACTATTATTGAACGTGCGTGTTGGGCAGATCATGACTGATACAAGGCCCTTAGTAGCGAAACATCTCCAAACAGGTTTTTGAGAGGTTATGCACATCATTTACGTTTCAATTGCATGTGTATAGGATGTTCTAGGCTCTCCAAATTGTTCTGGAGTTCAGATTATTAGATGAAATTGAAACTTAAATGACGAGCATAATCTCTATGAATCTGTTTGGAGATGTTTCGTTGCTAAGGGCATCGTATCAGTCATGGTTGATCTAAAGATCATTTGATCTGAATTGAATAATTTGGAGAACTTTTAGCACCCTATATACACCATAATAGATTATGCATAATTCCTAAGAACTCCATGAAGATGTTTGAGCAGATGTTGTCTCTGAGGACATCGTGCAGGCCTTGGTTGATCCAGTAGATCAATGAATCCGAACTCCAGGACAATTTGGAGAACCTGGATTATCCTCCCTAGAAGCACACAGGTCACTGAACAATTTTGGTCTTTTTTTCCTCTGTTCGAGACATAACACCACTGCGACCAGTAATTTGATCCATTGTAGTAGGGGAATTTACGTATTCTCGTCAATCTAAGCAGCGTCCGAACTTCTATTAGCGATTTCTCAGCGTAACACATATACATGACAGGTTTGTTTGTTGACATTTATCTGCTGCTTGCTGTTCTACCAATTCCAATCGACAGAATTGATCAAAACGGATTGAACATGTTTTTACAACGCTCCAAACTTCTCAGGCGGGAGTGACTATTGTCGGCAGTCTCTTTTTCTTCGGCACCCTTTCCATTTGAACTGCGTGTTAACCAGCTGTTCTATTATCGGCAACTCGAAATCAGCCGTATTTTGTAGTATGTATATTTCATTTAAAGAAAAATATGGTATAACAGGAATTCACAGTCGTAAAAATGTAATCAGATTGAAGCTGAAAAGGTAAGGAATCGGCTTAATACATTCAGCGAAGAGTTTTGATGGGAAAATACAGTGGAATAAACGTTTCAATTTCGGTTGCCGAAAACAGTCAATGGGTGCCGAAGCCATAATTTACCCTGTATCCCGTGTCCTTAGTTTAGTGCATGTCGTATTACTCCATCACTATTGAGAAATGATGAAGTATTCGATTTTTTTACAGTTGCCACTCTTGCATTTATCGCAAGGATCCGACTCTAATTGAAAGGTCCCGCTATTTATACCCTTCGGAGTGTTGGAATACCCTTCAAAGGCGCGCCCCTTTGTCAGTCAAAATTGGATTCCTTAGCAACAAAAAAAAGCAATGACACCGATAATGACCATGCATCAGAACCCTAGTCTTAACCACTTCAAACTAGGGAACAACGAATAGAAGATTAGGAATCACATACATAGGTGAAGACTAACTAACTCATTTTTTCCTTGTTTCAAGATCATCCTTGTTCCACGCAACCCGAGGACTTATCACTATCAACAAGGCATGAACAGTAACAAGGACTAAGATGTGTTCCTTTGATTACTGAAAAATCCTGTTCCCCTAGTTTGAAGTATTCAAGACTAGGAATCGGTGGTAGATCTTACATCCCGTAACGTACCATGCAAAGGTGATCTAACCACGTTACGGGGCAACAATTTTGGTTACTTGTGTGCCACTTATTCCAGTCACAATCAAGTTGCAGCAGGTTATTTCGGTCGAAGTGTGCTGCTTGGGCTATACACATTAAATTGAAACTTATGTTTTTTTTTTAATTATTAAATTATGTTATTTTTACTTTATTGTTGAGATTTTTAGCCGTATGCTTGTTCATCTCTTACTTAAATTATGTGCATTAAGAAAGAACCTGTTTGTAAATATTTCGTTATTAAGAGCCTTGTATCAGTCATGGTTGATCTGGATACTCTAGGATAATATGGACAACCTTTAGCATCCTATATATTTCAAACTAGATTATGCACAAAAGCTATAGGAACATGTTTGGGCTGGTGTCGCCACTGAGGACATTGTGCAGGCCTTGGTTAATCCAGTAGATAAAACAATCTGAACTGCAAGACAATTTGGAGAATCTAGAACATCCTATACACATGCAATTGAAACATAAATGATGTGCATACCCAAGTTACATTGCAAGCTTTATAGAGGTTTTATAGCATTCTACAAGTCCAAATCACGGTCTACAGAACCCTCATAAAACCAAAATTGTTACTTGGGTAATCTCCATGAATCTGCTTGGAGATGTTTCGCTATTAAGGGCCTTGTAACAGTCTTGGTTGATCTGGTAGATCATCTGATCTGAACTCCATGATAATTTTGGGAGAACCTTTAGCATCATATAGAGTAAATGTTCCAGTTATGGCACTAGTGCTTCAGTATGAAATAATTTTGTTTGTTTTTAATTACGTAGATATATGGCAGAATCTATGTTCTAGCCTTGCATTGAATTGAATTTGGGAAGAATGAATAAATTGAAATTTTTTATAGGGCCATAGGGGACCACTAGGGCTCAACTGGCACATTTATCCTACATAAAAACAGACTATAAATTATGTGTAAAAGCTCTATGAACATGTTTGGGCAGGTATTGTCGCTGAGGACATCGTGTAGACCTTGGTTGATTCAGTAGATCAAATAATCGGAACTCCAGAACAATTTAGAAAACTTAGAACACGTTGGTGACAAGCAAATTCATCTTGAATTGACAAGTTGGTTTTGATAAACATGGCAATGCAGGTTCCGTTTCAAAAAGTATTGTCGCTGTCCAGATAAAAACTTCATAAGGTTCTGGATATCTAAGCCTTTGAATATGGCTATAAACTGGTGCTTTCATAATTTCCCTGTATAGTTAGAACCTGGGTGATGCGGTGTGGCTTCTTTTCAATGTTGGCAGTGCTATTCTTCGTCATTGGCTGGCAGCAAGCGCTACCAAACAGCATTATGCGTAAATCTCAATCTGTGACTCTGCCATTGTTTGTTTACGTTCGTGAATTCGTGAAAGATTGGAGAGAATCGAAATGAACCTATTTGCAAACCCATTTTAAAATATATTTGTAAAAATGTGGCTTACATTATCACAACATCCCACTATTAAAAGAATTATTTAAGATAAGCTTGAACATTTTTAGTATTGATGGACTACAATACTTACATTTGACAGCTCGAAATTGGTTCGATTTTGGGGTCCGTCTTCGCATCACCCAGGTTAGACCCACTACTTCAACTTTACTTAAGTTGTTAGTATATAGCTATCTGTTACTTGGCTAGGCTTAGGTGGTAAGGCTTAAGCAAGTCTTCCGAAGTCGTTGAATTGCGACTTAAGTTAGTTAGTTAAGTTTTGCATCACTTACGCAAGTACATTCTGGTTGTCCGAGTAATCCTCTAGTTTAAGCCATTCTCTAACCCCATCCATTCCGTAGCATCGCCCAACTGGTCCGGATCATGATGGCGCTGGCCATTTTCTTCTCCTACGGGCTGCAGTTCTACGTGCCCATCTCGATCATGAGTCCGTCGATCAAACGGCGCCTCCAATCCGAGCAGGCGCAACTCATCGGTGAGTATCTGCTGCGCGTGGGCATGGTCGTATTCACCTTCCTCCTCGCGGCCATGATTCCCAACTTGGGTGCGGTCATTTCGCTAGTCGGCGCCGTCAGCAGCTCCACCCTGGCGCTGATCTTCCCGCCGTTGATCGAGATCGTTACCTTCTGGCCGGACGGTCTCGGTAGGAACTATTGGGTCCTGTGGAAGGACATTGCCATCATGACATTCGGCATCTGTGGATTCGTGTTCGGTACGTACACCAGTGTAGCACGGATTATCAATCCGAACTTGAACTAAGGCGTCTAAGGTGTCGGACAATGCGAACTTATACGTTCTTGAGGGTTGAACGTAGAACGGAAAGATTTCTAGATTTTTGTTTTTTAATGGCAAGGAAGATTGTACATTACACCTACAAAGTGAAACAAATGATATATTTATACAAATGATTTAGGAAACAGGTGAAAAGTGAAACGTGGAAGATCTTAAGCACCTACGGGTGTGTGATTTGATTATAACAAATTTTAGTTTTAGCCATATGATAATCGCTCTTAGGTTAAGATTCGCAGGAGGCAAGCGTATTCACGGAGGAATGAGAAAGGTATTATACAATTTACTGTGTATAGTGTGTCGCGAAGAGAAGGTTTTGGGACGAGACGTCCACTGTGTAATGAATGAGTAATTGTGGTGTAGATTTGTGTTACTTTTGCGTGTTTCAAACCAAATTTTTACACATCACACACATACATACGAAGCGATGGTGAAGTTAATGTGAACTTGTGCGTTTCTTTAATTTAGGCATAGTGTGTAAGATTAGCGTGAACGTAAAATGTGCATTTTTCCAATGACTCGATCCAGGTTATGAAACTTACCGTAAAATATAAGTTAACGAACATTTATATGCTCTGTGTTGTGGTTCGAGTTGGTTGGTTTCGGTTGAATAGGGCAGTGTAGTTTGGCAATCAATCTTCTCATAACTAGTTCCTGGATTCATCGTTTTTGTTTTTTACTTTAAAGATAAGATCTGCCAAATGCTTGCATTACTATTTGATTTTCCCCCAAGTACACCTCACTGAGCTTCTTCCTGAAGTTCCTCTTTACAGTTTCGACCACACTGTTCCACCAAGTCACCACCTATTCAACCGAATCATTCGTACAAAGCAGACGGCACAAAATCGTGTAATCCTCCAGTTTGTCATTCACGCAAATTTTCAGTGCAAAACATAAATTCAATCTGATCAGTGAAAGTCAGAGTGATAATAATCCTAGATTGTGTATGCTAAGGGAAATAGCTCCAGTCGTCGTAACGACACGTTACTTATCGATAAACTTCTAGCATGACAATAAACTAAATTATATCAGCATTAGATACGTTTAAGGTATTTAGGATATATATGCATTCGCCGTAAAGTGAATACTGTAAGTCAACCAATAACGCTTCTATCCGATCTACGTTGGTTAAGTTTCCAAATCTATCGTACTATCTTCCACTGTTTTTCCTCTGTTATCGTGCATAAGTTGTTAGTAGGGAAAGCTTCTATCGAGAGAAGACTGAAGCGGAAAATCGAAACTAGGCAAACGAATTCATACACCAAGTGGGTGGTGTAGAGGGACAAATCATCAAAACGAAATCAAAAACTAGAGAATCTGTTATTATTATTATTATTATACCTTCTTATCATGATTTATTGCCTCCATTGTTTGGTGACGCGAAGACAATAAGCGACACGATCGGAATTCTACTGCGGTTTTCTGTTCGTCTATCGATCTATCCTCTCCTGATCTTGGAAGTCTATTTACCTTTCTCTTGGATCATCTCGGTTGCCGTTTTGGATTTGTGATATAGTTTAAACACTCAAGTAAGAATCCAAACTATAGCTAGTAGTCGTTCTTATGTAGGCAAGAAATAAAAAGCGGAAAGGATCATTCCACATACGAAAGCATGTATTTAACAGGGTTGTTTACGGGTAATGTCATTGCTGATCGTGTTTTTATTTTAAAATCGAATCTAAAAAACCTCAAACATCCAAATGTGAATTAAAGTTAGTTGGAAAGATAGATAAAGTCGACTATGTGTGTCGGGAGCTTACGAACTCCATTACCAATGTTCGCTTTATCTATCCTTCCCACTCACTTTAATCTACATTTGGATGTTTAAGGCTTTTTAGATTTGACATTACCGGTAAACATCCCTAGTATTAATCCATGAAACGAAGCTCAAAAAAGGGTGGGTGTGTCGCAGTTCAGACATGACACAGCTACCAGCAGACATCCTTATCCGCTATTAGCGTGTTCAGTGTTTTTTGTGTTATGAATCTGTGGAATAAAACGAAAGTTTTCGGAGGGAATTAGAATCGACGACGGTAACTATATAATCAACTAAGTTCACAGCAGTGATAAACTTCTAATACCCAGCAGACTAAAGCAACTAAAGGATAATAAATTATACAAATGCAAAACCAAATCTTTAGAGGGAATTGACATAAGCAAGAAAAACCAACATATTTTACTAACAACCGAGCCTTATTACTATTCTAAAGTATACCGAAATCCTCGCTCACCTCATAATATGCGTCGGGATCGCCGATGTGTACAGTACGCACAGAATATTCTGCCCTTCCAGTAGTGCGTAGCACTTGTGATAATCCGAACACCAGTACTGCTCCAAATTCGCAACCTTATCCGCATCTCGAAACAGATCGTCCATTGCCTCCACCGACTGGTGGAAGAAAGTCCGAAGAACGTCCAACCGATGATTCCCGGACAGTGTTCTCTTCCCCGTACTCGTCAGATGCACATTTCTCGATATCACGTACTTGGACTGCTCCCTGTTAACCAGCAAAAATCCCAATATGCTCGAGTCCAGCTCAACCGTCGCCGGGTAGTTCTTCGGATAGTTCTGCTCCGCCGTGATCAGCAGATCGATTTCGTTCATCCAAAACTGCTGGCTCATCGTTTGTAGCTTATCGTACGGAGGTTCCGCCCCGCACAGAGCACATATGCTTACGCCTTGCGTTATCGGAATACTGATGAACCGATACGCAATGCCGGGACTCTTCTTCGGCAGAAACACCGGAACGTCCTGCTGAATGGTGCTGGATGCATTCAACAGAACCATCAGCAGTTTCCTGTCCACGATATCCAAGTCCCACCATCCCTCCGTTCCGCAGGCGACCTTCTGCCGGACCAGGATCGAACAGAACGGAGATCCAATCTGCACACTGAACTCGTTCAGCTTGACCAACATTGCCATACTCTCCGGACACAGCACTGCTTCGTTGTAGCGGAAAAAGTCACTCTCAACCACTTCCATCAGCTGATCGATCAGCGTATAGCAATTTTTCAACTCCCGTTTGAAACGATCAATGTTCTTGATCTTCTTGATGGCGGATATCCCCACGCAGAATACCATCGAGTAGTAGGCAAAGTCCATCAGATTGCGCAGAATCTTTTCGCTGAGGCCCTTGGCGATACCGATCATCATGAGAGTGCCATCGTACTCCTTCCAGATGATCATTCCCTCCTCCAGGTGTGTGATCGAGAGGTCCACGCCCTGCGACTTGCAGAACATGTGCACCCCGTTCAGGGAGGCGATCGTGGAGAATGGAAGCTGAAATAGGAATTCTTGTATCCACTACTGACTATCAAGGCATCGCAATTACGAACCCATTTTCAGTTGAATTAGCATTAAACCACCACCTTAGTCATTTGAGAGAACCAGCACCTCTGGATTAGTCCGAATAAGTATCAATGATTAGTATTTCGTTTCTTATCTAGGATTCTCACGGTCTCACAGTCGCCTTTCTTTTTCGAGTAGATCGGAACTCCGCCATCCGATGTGAGACACATCAGATGGATCGACATATCTAGTGTTGTGTTGTTTGCTGAATGATTTCCTAAATTTCTTTATTTTTCGGCCATTTACTGTAAGTTAACTATTTAAGTTTTAATATTTATTTGTGAAATGCAATTCTATTAAATGGATATTCGCAAGATGGTATTTTGTTTGCTAGATGTGTTTCGGCAGCTTGTCTACGCTTTTGCCGTATTCATATTATGATTTAAGTTTGTTTTGACGAGGGGTCGCTTGATGGTGCAAGGACATGAATACATCTCCGGTAACGATGATCCATTCAAACCATTCAAACAGCTTCGTTTCGACTAGGTTCTTCGTGATCGCAACGTCTGATTTAGTAAATTTTAGGGTTTTATAAATACTGTTTTTCCTTTAATTCATAAAGAACCGACGGGTCTCGCATTTTTGAAACACATAGATCTCGATAAGTTGTGACTTTTTTTTCACAATCAAGGGGATAGATTTTTTTAAATTTTTATGGAAGGCCACACAGACTCGCTTTAGTGATTCGTTGATTTATAAATTGGGTTCTTTAATTTTGAAAAATATATCATATAGTAACATCATCTGAAAGGGCTTAGTTTTCTGAGCACATTTTTTTTTTCTTGGACCCATAGCTTTCATCTCAATTTTTAAATCAAGATTTATTTTTTTAATTTTTGACATTAAATATTTTAGTTGACAGCTCGCTCCCATACTAAGTCACATCGAGGGGTGCTAAGATGGTGATTTTTGCTAATGTAATCGCACTTATTTAAAATGTACCAGTCTATCAAAATTTGGAATTGAGTTCCATTTGTAATGCAGATTACGAAAATGCAATTGGGGTTGTTTAACTTCGAAAAATATACCGGTTTTTATACGTCATCTGATAGCGCTTCGTTTTCTTAGCACAACGATATTTTCATCAATCCCGTAGACATTCATCTCGAATTTTAAATCAAGATTTAAATTTTTGATCGTTGACACTAAATCTTTTCGTTGACAGCTCGCTCCCATACAAAGTCCCACCAAGGGGCGCTAAGATGGTGATTTTTTGCTAGTATAATCGTGCTTATTTAAAATAGTTCCAGTGTACCAAAATTGATGAAACTTTGGATTTCGGTTCCATTTTTAATGCAGATAACGAATATGTATTTATCTCAATACCCCTAAACAGCCCAATTATCTCAATACCCTTAAACAACCCAATTGGGTTATTTAGGTGTATTGCGATAAATGCATATTCATATTAATAATTTTCGACTGCTTTAATATTGCTTTAAATATTTTGTTTATTATTTCAATACCGCTTAAAATATTTTAATTATTAATAAATATTTGAATTGTATTTTCATTTCCTCGCAGTCAAATCGATGAGTGCGCCCCCTGACCCTGGATCCATTTTAAATAAGTGCGATTACCTTGTGGCAGGTGCTATATTATAAAAATCAAAATGTAAAAAGTTGTACATTAATTGAAATTTTTCAAACACCATCGAATTACCCCTTGACGCATGAAGCGTTCGCAAAAAGTTCACTCACCGAAATGTTCATTAGATGGTAAATGAGTTCTCTGTACCATTTCGGGCGCCAAAGCGTAATTCGATAGCCAAACGAAGAGTCTAAGCAAACCACGCGTAAACGCACGGACATCGACCTGCACAATTCTGCTTTCAGGATTTGTTGACCCGTCCCATCCTTTCATGCACTTCGGGTGGGAAGCGAATTGGCATATGCGTTAACTTGATAGAAGGAGAATGCCTTCCTTCGTAATTTTTTACAAAAAATTAGTATGCGTGAAGGCGATTTTTTGAACTTCGTGAAAATCAACTTCGTTGATTTCACGTAATTTCCGGCGACGAAGATTGCAATTCTTGCGCCTAATCTGAGGACCTTCAGACTTGATTCTTTCACTTCGTTCTGGTTTGTGGAAGAGGCGAGAGCGGTCCGAGTTTTAGTTATCGCGCCGTGGTGTGAATTTAAAGGTGAATTAGTAAACGTGAAATAGTCTTTAAGTTTGTTAATTTAGATATTCTTTATAAATTCCCTCGATTAGTTCGTTAGTTTTCGAAATTAGAGCAGAAAGTGCTTAGTGCGTTAGTTCGGCGGTTAGGAGTGTGCGAAGGTGTATTGAAACCGAGGTAATTTTGTGTGCATAACTTTGTTCAGTGTGCAGATGTTGAATGCCACGCGACGGAATTTCTCTTTGGCAGATTTGTGGCAAGTTGCGAAGCTCGTCACACCACCCACATCAGTCAGCGACCGTTTTCGACCCCATTTTCCAGCTTCGAAGAACACCCGGTGGTACCAGAGGCCGGAAAAGGGCAGCAAAAAGGTTTCCGCGCCCTAGGCACAGTGAGCAGCAACCCACTGGTTTCGAACCGGTGACCTCCCTCTCCAGCGGCAACCACTTTCCGCAGTTTCCCGTCGACGGTGACGACCATCGATGCGACGGCCGTACCCCGTCTAGGTAGAAGACCACAACTCAGCGTGTGAGGCGTAGTTGGAAAACTACATCGGCTATGTGCAGTCCGCAGTAGCATAGTTTCGGAGTCCGTAGGAGTATCACGTGTGGTACACGTGGGTTCAACCGGCATCATCGAGCAACCGCCAATTCCTCCACGCAAGTAGCGAGTCAAAACGTGAGTAACATGCATGTTCACAAAATTCCCATGCGCATGGTGAGTTAAAGCCCCTAGCATAGCATAACCGCTAGCGTGGCCGCTGTTCATTCAGCCGTTACCCATTCCGATCCGCGCAAGCGTCGGTAACGCCAAACAGCTTTTTTGTAGCACACACAAAATGAATACCATTCGTCGCACAGCACACTAGATAAATACCGCCAGAAGAAGAAAGAAGAAAAGGATAGCTAACTAGAGGGAATGAATTTGAGATAGGCCTAGAATAATAAATTGTCGATAACGTAGAAGTACGAAAATAAACCAACACACTACAGATAAAAAGTTTTTGTTCATCATTTCCCAAAGTGATCTAGAAAAGCGAATGTAAGGCTTTTTCACGTTTCCGGTCGTTTTCTTTTGAAGTTTTTGCAGAGTTTTACTGGGGAAGTTGGCCCCGAAACCAACCAGGATTTCTCTCTATTCGAACGGGATCCGTTCGAAGTGTTGTGTCAAGTCTGCCCGTGATGATAAAATCCGCGAGAGCAATTCATCGGTGGCAGAAATCGTTTTCGTGAATGCTTCATTCTTTTATTTGATTCTTTCACGACCATAGGTCGTGGGCATTCCCGTCCTTATCGTAATCGATCAACAGCCAACTTGCTTCCCGCTCATTCATTTGAGAAAAACAGAACCTTCCCTGAAAGGTCTCATATGGTCGGGCAACCCTAGTCTCGGTAGATGGTCTCCCTCGGGAGTGGCGCTTAAGCCATTTTTACTAAAAACGGGAAACTCGTAAGGCTGTCGGGTTACATTTGGCGCCCAACAAAACCGGCACATTTTGCTTTTGTAGATTAAAATTTTTTGTCTTTAATTTGAATTTAGTATACATTTTATTGAGTAGCTTTTTACAACTAGTACTGTACTAGTAGTAGAACATTTTTTAGGTACAATTAAGTTTTGTTTTTTTTTTCTTTCTCTTCCTTCATTTCAATTAATCTTTTTATAGTCTCTTAGTACAAATTAGCCTTAGTATCTTGAAACACTGATATTCTTTTATTGTTACATAAATTGCATTCCTCAAAATATTTATATACATATATTTTTGTTTCCTACTACAAACGGTCTCTCTCGTAAAAAAAAACACAACATGGATAAATTTCCTTATCCAGAATACTTGAATCAAGAAGAAGTTGATTATGAACTTCTTATTCGTGGTGAATTAGATGAAACTGTCGCTGCACTTGATCTTGCGAATAAACAAAGACATCTCAGAGCCCTGTTTAAACATGATATTAAAATTTTTAAAAATTACCCGTCGCCATACAATATTATGCATGAACATGATCACATTGACGGCAGGGTTACGGATTTGTTGAAATCGATTAAGCGTCATGGTCTGGAACCACGGTATATTTCACGATTGCTTCACTACTGGTACCGCACGAAACGGACCATTGCCAGGGATGAAGACGAAAAAAAGGTTAGGAGAGAGTTGGTACGTCGCATAGAAGAGTGGATGAAAGAGTACAAAATAGGGCCACCAGCATCACCAGTAGTTGAGCGAATCAACGACATGCTAACCGAAGCAGAAAAAAGTGGGGTAGGTCTGGATCAGCCAGGGGCTCAGGGAAATAGTACACCCACAAGTCCGAAGGTAACGGGTACAATACCGAAAGGGCCAAAGCAAAACAGCACAGGGACTAAGGAATCGGAACTAAACGATGAAACGCAGCAGAGGATAGACCACCTGGAGCGAATGCTCGAGAGTATGGCAAAATTGCTGACGGAGCGGGAGTCATGTGAAGCGCCAACCGAAAATAAACGATCAACCAAACGTGTGATCAAGCAATCTCGCTGTTCTGGATTATTTTCTCAACACGATTCTAGCTCTAGTGGTGAAGAGGATAAACCTGAACGTAGCAACCGACACTATGAGACAGCCCGGAAGCAACGGGGATCTACCGATAACGATTCGGAGAGTTCCATCGACAGTAACAATCGGTCAGACAGGGGACATCCGAGGCCGCAGATAAATCTACGACACCGCCATAATGATAGACGTGAGCATGGGGTTAGGGATCATCTCAACCGAGTGGAAAAATGGAAGATCAGGTTCACCGGAGATTCCAGATCTGTAAGTGTAGAGAATTTCTTGTACAAACTGGAAAAGATTGCTCAACGAGAGGACGTCTCAAAGAGACAATTGTTGAGGGACATTCACCTACTCTTAGATGGGCCGGCATCCGATTGGTTCTTTACCTTTGTGGACGAGTTTGAGGATTGGTCTACGTTCGAGAGACTCATCAAATACCGATTCGGAAATCCTAACCAAGACCAGGGAATCCGCCAGAAGATCCAGGAGAGGAAGCAACATCGCGGTGAAACTTTTATCGCATTCGTCACCGAAATTGAGAAGCTGAACCGGATGTTGTCTAAGCCACTGTCAAGAACGCGGAAGTTCGAGTTGGTCTGGGACAACATGAGACAGCACTATCGCTCGAAGATATCCATCGTCGACGTGAAAGACCTGCAACAACTGGTCAAATT